ATTGCCACCGGAATCCACCCCGTCAACAACCCTTAAATCAGTTGTGTATTATTTCCCCGGTATCGTGCTTAAAGCCATAATGGATTTTAAGTAAATTGTTAAAATTATATTTATATTGACTTATAACAACTATTAATACCATTTGTTGCCACCGGAATACACCCCTTCAACAACCCTTAAATCAGTTATGTCTTATATCCCCGTTATCAAGCTAAAAGCCATAATGGATTTTAAGTAAATTGTTAAAATTATATTTATATTGACTTATAACAACTATTAATATACTTTGTTGCCACCGGAATCCACCCCGTCAACAACCCTTAAATCAGTTGTGTATTATTTCCCCGGTATCATGCTTAAAGCTATAATGGATTTTAAGTAAATTGTTAAAATTATATTTATATTGATTTATGACAACTATTAATACACTTTGTTGCTACCGGAATCTACCCCTTCACCTACCCTTAAATCACTTCTATATTATATCCCCGGTATCGAGGTTAAAGCCATAATGGATTTTAAGTAAATTGTTAAAATTATATTTATATTGACTTATAACAACTATTAATATACTTTGTTGTCACCGGAATCCACCTCTTCAACAACCCTTAAATCACTTGTGTATTGTATCCCCGGTATCGAAATTAAACCCATAACGGATTTTAAATAAATTATTAAAATTATATTTGTATTGACTTATAACAACTATTAATACCCTTTGTTGCAACTGGAATCCACCCCATCAACTACCCTTACATCAGTTGTGTATTATACATATATGTATAGTTATTATAAGACAATATAAGTGTAATGTTAACAATTCATTTAAAATCTGTTCTGGCTTTAAGCTTGATATCGTGTACGTAATACACAAGTCATTTAGGGGTAGTTGACGGGGTGGATTCCAGTGGTAGCAAAGGGTATCAATAGTTGTTATAAGTCAATATAAATATAATTTTAACAATTTACTTAAAATTCATTATGACTTTAAGCTTGATATCGGAGATACAATACACAACTGATTTAAGGGTAGTTGACGGGGTGGATTCCAGTTGCAACAAAGGGTATTAATAGTTGTTATAAGTCAATACAAATATAATTTTATAATTTATTTAAAATCTGTTATGGGTTTAATCTCGATACCAGGGATACAATACACAAGTGATTTAAGGGTTGTTGAAGAGGTGGATTCCGGTGGCTACAAAGTATATTAATAGTTGTTATAAGTTAATATAAATATAATTTTAACAATTTACTTAAAATCCATTATGGCTTTAACCTCGATACCGGGGATATAATACACAAGTGATTTAAGGGTAGGTGAAGGGGTAGATTCCGGTAGCAACAAAGTGTATTAATAGTTGTCATAAATCAATATAAATATAATTTTAACAATTTACTTAAAATCCATTATAGCTTTAAGCATGATACCAGGGAAGTAATACACAACTGATTTAAGGGTTGTTGACGGGGTGGATTCCGGTGGCAACAAAGTATATTAATAGTTGTTATAAGTCAATATAAATTTAAACAATTTACTTAACATCCATTATGGCTTTTAGCTTGATAACGGGGATATAAAACACAACTGATTTAAGGGTTGTTGATGAGGTGTATTCCGGTGGCAACAAAGTGTATTAAATAGTTATCATAAGTCAATATAAACATAATTTTAACAATTTACTTAAAATCTATTATGGCTTTAAGCTTGAGCCCGGGGAAATAATAAACAACTGATTTAAGGGTTGCTGACGGGGTGGATTCCGGTGGCAACAAAGTGTATCAATAGTTGTTATAAGTCAATATAAATATAATTTTAACAATTTACTTAAAATCCATTATGGCTTTTAGCTTGATAATGGGGATATAAAACACAACTGATTTAAGGGTTGTTGATGGGGTGTATTCCGGTGGCAACAAAGAGTATTAATAGTTGTCATAAGTCAATATAAATATAATTTTAACAATTTACTTAAAATCCATTATGGCTTTTAGCTTGATAACGGGGATCTGACATAACTGATTTAAGGGTAGCTGACGGGGAGGATTCCGGTGGCAACAAGGGGCATTAATAGTTGTTATAAGTCAATACAAATGTAATGTTAACAATTTACTTAAAATCTATTATGGCTTTCAGCCTTATACAGAGGATATAAGATATTACCTGTTTAAGGGTAGTTGACGGGGTGGGTTCTGATGGCAACGAAGGGCAGAAATAGTATTTATAAATCAATAGAGATGTTATCTTAAAATTTTAAGACGGATTTAATGTGATAGCAGGCTTGTTATTTGGAATAGAATACTTCGACCTTTCCAAGGGTAGTTCGTATTGACAGGGTAGTTTCCGGTGGCAACAAAGGGCGGCAATAGTTTTTGTAAATGGCTATAAATGAAACGTAAACTTTTTAAATCAAATTTAACGTGGCTTTTTAAGCTTGATTGGAGATATAAGTTATGACAGTTTTAAGGGTTGTTGACAGGGTGTCTTCCAATAGTGACAAAAGATCCTAATGTTTTTTAAAAATCAGTATAAAAGTAATGTTAACAACCTATGTCAAATATAGAGTGGTACAGGGCTAATTTTCTAAAATACGTGTAACTAAGTTTTAAGGGTGGTTAATATGTGGGGTGGCTTCCGATGATGGGGAAGTGTTGTTTTCGTCTACAGAAGCCAGAATTTAGGTGATAAAATCATTTTAAGTACGATTAAACGTGATATTATGGGTTTTCATTTTCGTTCAAATGAACGTTCGGAACTTCAGGTACATGCCACGCCGTGGGACGGTGAATGTGGTTCATAATTAAATGCTTTCGTTGATCTCAAACACTTTTATTCTGTAAAACTTCTTCAACGCCCTAGCAAACTTACAAAACGTAACTGCTTCGTATTCGCGTCCAGTGTTGCCAGTATTTGATGTTATAAAATCGCCAATATTGTCCTGAAAAGTCGCCCAATGTCGCGAACATTCCGGAGATGGCTGATATTCGCAAAAGTCTTTGTAATGGGGGGGGGGGGGTATTTGCTTCTATGTAAATTATTTTTATTTGATATTAGGTACATAATAAGTAAGAAATGTAAGAATTCTCATACTTAAGAATATTTGCGTATCTTCCCATTATGCAAATAACAATTCGAAACCGTGATAATCGGCACAGGCACAACACAGAAACGAATATGGTGGGTGGGGTGATTAGAATTTATTAACAGACTTATTTATATTTAAAATCAATCAACGAGTGTATAGAGACTATAGGAAGATTGTTGTTAAAAATAAAATGGTAATAATTAACCATAACCACACACTTTAACCATGGACAACATAGCAACAGAATATGTTATATAACATTATATCATTGTGTGTGTTCTGTGCGGACACCGAGACCGAGTCTACATGTTCAAGGGAAACCAATCTGAGACCAATTACAAGAACTCCCAATAATGCCAACTGAACAATAGCACTTTCAAAATACGTTAGAAAAACTTAACAGTTTAAAAGGCTAAGAAGTCGCCCAAAATGAATGTCAATCGCCCAAGCTAACTTCGCAAGTCGCCCAAATTAATCGCCAATCGCCAATATTTAAATTTGGTGGCAATGTCATATTTCAAGTCGCCCATTTGACGATAAATCGCCCACACTGGCAACACTGTTCGCGTCAGTCCCTACGCATGCGCACTGTCTAAAGTTCTAGTGTCTAAAGCCACCACCAGGCCCGATCAGGCGGCAGATTCAAACCCGGCTACTACAGTATTTAGTATGAAACTTTTTTTTGAAGTCACCACTGTTAAAAGATAATCTTCTGATAATTGAAATCTACTTAAGTTCGTAAATCATTGTAACTTCATGAATATATACCTAGATTTTTATCTATCTGTATGTAAATATCGGTACTTTTAAAGACTAGAGGAAAAACTATGATACTTTCTGGTTATGCTGCAATTGTACTTGGATAACTGCTATGTTTCCCTTATTATTAGAGACAGATCTACCAAAGTTTATATCTCTGATATTCTAATACCGTATTCTACCCAAAACCTTTATTATAAACCCTTCACTCGACCACCAAAAACAATCGCGTGCTAGATCTGATTGATTTAACTAAAATTTTGTGCAATTTTATGTGCACAAAAAAGATGTTATATTTACTTAGAACCTTTTTATTTTCTGACAATTTTGCAAGAACAGCTTCTCATTCGAAATTGATTAGCAATTCGGAAAATGTCATACTAGTAGGCATAGGCCATAGGCATAGAAATTATATTTAACAAAGGGGTTCTGACTGACTACTACCCATCTACCGCATCGCTGTTGTATTGTTGCCAAAGATTTACCTAGTTTTTATTTATTACTTGCTGTTTCTTAAATAACAAGGAAAAAGGTAAGAAAATAAATAAATTTGACACTGTATCTTGGTTAGGATCTGATTTATGATGAATTTTGTTGTTTAAAATCAAGTCGTTTATCAATCGTTAGAAGTTTAAGGACCAATACTATTTTAAGGACCAACAGGGTGATTTTTTTGTTGAGGTAACACTAGAGGAAAATTAACTTCTCCGTTTTATTCTGTAACATTTTCATTTCTTAATTTTTTTCTGTATCTGTACCTAACTGTTTGAATAATCATAAAAACGGGGCTTAACATAATATGTTACATTTTTTATGTGGTACAGCTGTAAAAGTATGGTCTTAAGTCTGGTGGTCTAACTGGCTACAGAATATGACCCACATCACCCTAATAATATTATTAATAATCTATATAAATAAAAATTAAATGCTATTTGTTAGTAAGCTCATCACTGAGAATGGTTGAACCAATTTGCATATTTTTTTTTATGTTTGTAAAAGCCCGAATAAAATTTTTAGGGAAATAAAAATTGGAAAGTTGTCCGGAAAATTGGAAAATTCGGGAAAAACTGAATGTGCTTATCACAAACAAATTTATTGAAATTTGGACATCTGTTGGGTCAGCTAGCCATTAATAAAATAATTTTAATATTTCAGGGTCGAAATGTGATTATTGAACAGTCCTGGGGTTCTCCAAAAATTACAAAAGATGGTGTTACAGTTGCAAAAGGCGTAGAATTAAAAGATAAATTTCAAAATATTGGTGCAAGATTAGTTCAAGATGTAGCCAACAACACAAACGAAGAAGCTGGAGATGGAACTACAACAGCTACAGTACTTGCTCGTTCCATAGCAAAAGAAGGGTTCGAAAATCTTGGTAAAGGTGCAAATCCAATAGAAATTCGTAAAGGTAAATTTGACTACAACAAATAAACGAAATATATTAGAATATATAGAGAACTTTTTGTGGTATTCTCTATTAACAGAATACAATCCATACCATCAAACTTGACTTGTGTTACCAGTTGAAGGAACCCGTGGTGACAGAAAAATTAATTTACGAGTGATCTGACTTTTGAGCATGATGTCTCTTAATGAATAATTCTGTTCTAGATACATGTATCTTTGGAAAAACGTTTTTCTTGAAAATGACTAAAGATATTTGAATTCTGAAAATGGAATTGTGTTTTCAATGGCTGTCACCGAAATATTCTGGCAAAAAATACAAAAACTTATTTATATAGTGTTTTTGAAAGTGAGGTTTTAATAAGGGGTTTTAGATAATATGTAGTACAAGATCTCGACTTAAAGGAGTCGGATTTTTGTATTTTTTGATATTTATGGTACAGTGCAACTTCGACAATCCGGACACATATAGTTTTAGGGTCGGTTGGATTAACGAGTTGTCCGGACTATAGTAGGTGAAAATATTGAAATAATCTAAGTGAATTAAATTGTATGTACATACATGCATTGTACATACTATGATTTATTAAAAAACAATAAATTATTATATTTAATTATTATATTAAATTATTAAAATATGTAATCTAAGTGAATTAAATACATATGTACATACATATGTACATATATACTACATAAAAGAATTTGGCCTTTGCTTTTAAAATTTCTGTGGAAATCGGGATATGATTGTTTCTTTGTTGCAAAAACCATGTATAAAGCGCTTCCTCTAACTCTGGATTTTCTGCTTTTTTCATAACTTCTATTTCTGAAAAAAAAATTATACATATTAAGAAAATGGTTTATTACATTATTCTGGTTCAAATGTTACCGGGTCCATTATAGGTATTCGAAATAAATTGTTTTATCTTCTTATTTTTTTTAATGTCGCAAATCGTTGATTTAGGAACATGGAATTTTTCGGCAACCTGCCTAATAGTTTTTCCCTCATCAAGACTTTGTAAAATATCACACTTTTCCTTTAAGGTTAGTGTTTTATGTTTGCGTTTATTATTTAAAAACATGGCACTTGGAATGGAATTAGACAAACACGCTTGCGAAAGAATGAACCGAAACTGAAGTATGTAATGATAGAGCGAGATAATGATAGAACATGCGAGTAAAAAACGGGAAACTCCCGAATTTTAATATTTATTCTTACATAAAAAAAATTTATCCGGATTGTAGAGGTAAAAATTTTAAATTGTCCGAAATGTAGAAGCGTCCGAATTGTTGGAGTGACCGGACTGGCGCATGTCCGGACTGTCGAAGTTGTACTGTACATGTAGTTTGGACCTTGAATAAGAATTTTCCAAAGTAATTCTACGCAATGTTCATAAATTACCGAGATAATCGATTTTGAAGTTTTACCTGACAGTTAAATTCACTAGATGTGACGCATTCTTCAACTGGGAGCGTGGCCTAATTGGTAGCGTTCGGGACTGACAGTCACGAGATCGCTGGTTTGAGTCCGTCGCGTGATATATATATATATATATTTTTTCAAAACGCACCATATGGTTTTTTATTATTTTTTTCATCTCAAAAATTATGAACAAACGAAATATAATAAATACTTATGTATATGTAGGAATATTCTTCAAATATTTCATTAAAATGCACAATTGGTTGATAAACGATACTTATTTATTATGAATTAACAATAAGATTTCATTAGAAAAAGAACAAACGAGGTCAGGTAGGATGTTCTTTTATTTTATATTTATGTTAGTATTTGAGATTTTACGCAGTGTGGTACAAGCCGAAATTGGTAGCTATCATAAAAAAATGGGAAGCAGAAATTTTTTAAGCATCTAGCTTCCTTTCTTTTTCTTTTTCTGATCTCGAAAATTATGAACAAACGAAATATTATGAGAACTGTATGTAGGAATATTCTTCAAGTGTTTAATTAACATTTTGAGCTAGATTCTGTGGGTCGTCCACCGTGTTTAAAAAAAAACCGCTTACAGAACACAGTGCTCCGGAATAAAAAGTTTCGTTAAATTCCGCAAAGGGTAGAGAAGCATCAAAACTATGTGTTGAAAGAACAATCTTTCAAAATATTAACGAAATTTGCTTCAACGTCGATATTTTGAAAACAAAATGCGCCTGTAAAAACAACATTTACACGACATGCTAGATGCTTAAAAAATGTCTGCTTCCCATGTTTCTATGATAATTATCATTCTGGCTTATACTACACTGTGTAAAATGTCAAATACTAAAAATAAAATAAAAAACCTACCTGACCTCGTTTGTTTTTTTTAAAGAAACTATTTTTAATTCATAATAAATAATGTTTATCAACCAATTGTGCATTTTAATGAAATATTTGAGGAATATTTCTACATATACATAAGTATTTATTATAATATTTCGTTTGTTCATAATTTTCGAGATGAAAAAAATAATAAAAAACCATATGGTGTGTTTTGAAAAAAAAAATATGTCACGCGACGGACTCGAACCAGCGATCTCGTGACTGTTAGTCCCGAACGTTACCAATTAGGCCACGCTCCCAGTTGAAAAATGTGTCACATCTAGTGGATTTAGCTGTCAGATAAAACTTCAAAATCGATTATCTCGGTAATTTATGAACGTTGCGTCGAACTACTTCGGAAAATTCTTATACAAGGTCCAAACTACACGTACTATAAATATCAAAAATTACAAAAATCCGATTACCTTACCTTCTCCTTGTTAGATCGGCCTTCACCCATCGAGTTTTCTAATGAAATTTGAATTTTGATAATATAATGTATTAATCCAATTTCCCTGCACAGCTATTTTTAATAAAAAAATTTAAGTTGTTAATTTTTTTTATATTTTATATATTAATTTTGTGCGGTTTAAAATTTACTTGGTCATCCAAATAAAAATCTGTCATTACTTGTAGATTTAGGCTGATGGCGTACTGAAGAAACTCATTTCTTGAAACTTGTAGCTGAAACAAACCACATGAAATTTAGTTTCTTGTTCAAAACTTAATGGGGAAACTTCACACCACTAATTTTTCTAATCATTCAAACTCAACTAATCTGAAACAAATTACATTAAACATGTACATGAAACAAATTGTTTTCTTGTTTCAGAAATGCGAGTCTGTACCGCCTCAGTTGAATACAGTTAGTAAAACAAGTTTCCTATTTCATGCAAAGAGTTTCATGAAATTCGTTTCTCCAATGTCTCATCGGCCTTAGCACATTGTGCAATAAGGTCTTCTCTCATTTTGTATATTTACTTTTTTTTTTTTTGAGGGATTTGCTTAATATGTGTAACATGAATTTCGTCATTTTCCAACATTGAGTATGCATGGGATGTTTCTAGACTCTAGAATCTAGAGTCTAGATCAGGGGTCGGCAAGTAATTTTAGGTGGGGTCCGGATATTTTTGAAAATTTTTAACGAGGTCCAGAAAAAAATTCATATTTCTTATTTTTTTATTTTAATTTGGACTCAAATTTAATCTGCTTACTAATTAAGAACTCAAAACACTCGCACAATTGTAAAATACTAGAAAAAATGATAAGATTGGCACTTAAACGTAAAAAACATTTTTTTAAATAATTATTTGAGTAATTTATACTTTCAAAAAATTTTTGGCGGTCCAGTATTTTACCTTCCGCGGTCCGCCAGTTGCCGACCCTTGGTCTAGATGAACTTAACCCTAGTTCAGCGGTCGACAACTGGCCGACCGCGGTCCAGGTCCAGACCACAGAAGGTAAAATACTGGACCACCAAAAGTTTGTTGAAAATATAAATTACTCAAATAAATTATTTAAAAAATTTTTTTTTACATTTGAGTGTCGCCCTTATCATTTTTTCTAGTATATTACAATTGTGTGATTGATTTGAGTTCTTAATGGTTACTAAGCAGATTAAATTTGAGTGCAAATTAAAATAAAAAATTAGTAAGAAATATGAATTTCGTTTCTGGACCTCATTAAAAATTTTCAAAAGTGTCCGGACCCCACCGTAAATTACTTGCCGACCCCTGCCCTAGGTGTTGACAAAAAATTTTTGAGCTGAAATAAATAAAATAATCAAATCAGCATTTTGGGAAATGATCCTGCTTGCTTAACCCTCTCACTGCTCCAGACGTATTTATTCGCTAAAAATTTATAGGGATCAAACTGCTCCAGGCGAATTAATTTGCTTGAATAGTTAAATTGGATCAGGCTGCACAAATCCTATATATTCGCAACCTTGTGCATTAGTGACTCGGTTGTTGCAACTGGTATAGGGAATTTTTTTCGCGGGCGGAGCTTATAGCGATTGTGGTAATTATTATAGAAGGAGGTACTGGTAATAATGCCAAGATTGTTCTCTCTTTTTCAGTTTCTGCTTTATATGAAAATATTAATAATTAAACTATTATAATTATTTTGAAATGTTTAAACATATTTTAATTTAATTTAACACAACATAATGTAAAAATATAAGTAGTCTAACTGTTCCAGACGAATAATTATATTCGCACGCGGTAAATTTTGCGCATGGCGCGGCTAGCTACGCTCAGACATATTGCGAAAGGGTTATAAAGTAATTTGAAACATTATTATTTTAAGGAGGTATATCGGAGTCCGAGGGAAGTGAGGACCGCATGGGGAGTCCTATGCTTTTCTTATGGGACTAAAACCCGCTGCTAATTTGAAAAAATTAAATTCTTTTGAAATTATTTGCGATAAACATTATCTATATAGCAAGGAAATCTACTCATATGCACATAGCATACATATTGACTAATTAACAACATAAATATCATATTTAAGTAGTTTTAAATTATATTTAATGAACGCATAATGACTATGTAGATGTGACAGCAGCGCTAATAATTGACTAGCAGTTGTACACACTGCGAATCTACAGACGTCGGACATTGGAGATATTGCGCGTCAAATTCGGGTAAAGATGCGTACCCATTCAAAAATGTATTGTGTGTAAACAATAT